TAATACAAATTAAATTGTTATGCATTCTGTTTAAGTGAAGTTAAATGAGTAAGCTTTCAATATTTGGAGAGAGAAAAAATTAGAGGAGAAAAAACGGGGGGGGAAGAACTTTGGTTGTTGTTTTGTTTCTCATGAAAGGAAAGGGAAGAGGGTAAAAAATTGGTCGGGACCATAAGAGCAAGTTTGTTATGATCCTACTAAATTTTCAAACCCAACCTACTTTGTCCAAAACTACTAGTTCTTTTTTATTTATTTAAAGAAACTACTAGTTCTATATACAGTTCAGTATCAAATATGGATCCAACCGGCATAAATGGGCCATGGCAGTAAGTACGTCCATTTGATGCATCTAATCTGCTAGTGTATCTAAGTTCGAGTACCCCTCCCCATAGATTTTAATTTAGACACTATCGATTGTATAAATAATATATATATATATGCATCCAACCGGCTAGTGTTGGATTCCATATTTAAAAGCTTAACCTATTAGCAGTTTTCTTTAGTGCAAACTCCTTTTCACATTGACCAATTAGTACATGTTCCTTAGAATTGTAACTTAGGGTGCGTTTGGTGTCCTATTCAAATAGGGAACTCAAAAACTTTGATTTTTCTTAAAAACAAGGAGTTCTTAAATTTATTTTTAAGATTCAAAAACTTGTTCGGTATGTAACTTGAAAATTGTTTTCAAATCTTAAAAATTTGAGAACTTGTGGGTTGTTAAAAAAAAACATATATTTTTTGTTTTTAATAATTGGGGTGTTTTTTTAGTTGTTATTGAGTTTGAGTTTTTAAAAATAGGGCTACCAAACAGGTCTTCTTTGTTTTGGACTCAAATTTTATTTTTGAGTTTAAAAAGTTGGATTCAAGTTGAATACCAAATAGGCCCTTAGATTCTGGATTCCTATTGAAGTTGTTTACTAAGCCATATGTATTGAGAAAAGTTAGATTCTAGATTCCTATTGAAGTTTTTTACTTCATATCAAAAATAAAAATAAAAGTTGTTTACTAAACCATATGAAATTGGGGTAGGAATGATACTATTTACTAAAATGTCCTCATTGTTGGGTTAAAGTAGATGGCAAACTTGGAATTTTTAAAATTGTGTGAGGATATAATGGGTAAAAAAGATGAATTCCTAATGGGATAGTTCTTCATGAATTAGAATATCACCTCCCAGAAAAACCCTAGCCCCCTACACTCTTCAGCCGCACCAGGGGGGAGGTGTTCTCTGCCCCTCCTCCCTTACTCCCCATCTCCCTTCTTTTCCCTCACCTCTTCCTCATCTCTCTTCCCTCTCAACCCGTCTTCCCTTTCCTTTTCCTTTTTCATTTCCTCATATGCTAGGGATTGGAGTTTTGGTTCGTTATGAGGCTTTTTGCTGCCCTGATCCATGTGGATCTTGGTTTTGTTTTGTTTTTTATTTTTTGTTTCTGGTTGCAGGCAAAGGCGGCGGCACCCACATCGGTGGGGTAGTACCAGTTGCTATACTGATTTGTAGTTGCGATTGTTGTGCTCTTTAGGAGTTTGATGTGTTTTGTATTTTAATTTTCGGTTACGATTTGAACTTTCCATTTCTGCCGTTTCGCGATGGGTTTGTATTGTTAGTCTGAGTACAGACACGTTAGGCTACTGAATCAGGGGTTGAGTATTTGTTGGTTTATGCATAATTCTCTCCATATCAAATCAACATGTTATTGTGTTTGGTCATTGGAGATAATGTACCCATTTTAGCACTTTTGTAGCTTTGTACTTGTTCTATTTTATCAATAAATACTATTGTTTTTTCTCAAAAAAAGAAAAGGAAAAAAAGAATATCACTTCCCACCTAAGAATTGAATTCCTCTAAAATAAAGAATTGAATTTCTAATTTTGTGTGAGCCCCACTACTTTTTAAGTCCTTGATGTGAAGTAAACACAGGAATCCTCCGTAGGTGGAATTCAATTTCTGATAAGAATTCCAATTCCTGATTAGTAAAAACACCACCAATGTAATGGCCTAAATTAATTTTCTTTTCGATACATTTTATTGATGATAATATTTTTGTTGGCGCATACATAATATATGTGACAGAATAATTAATAATATTTTGACATGTACAGCTGCTGCTAGAAGAATACCAAAATGAAACCTTGGTTCTGAGTCACAGTAGTAAAAATTTGAACATCTTTTTAAAGCCTGAAATAATACTCAACAATAATAAAGTAGAACTTGCAATGCAATGCAACATGGAAACAACTTGTAATATTCCCTTTTGTGGGAATCAATCAATTGCTATAGTGGCAGGCAAACCCCAACCAGTAATAGGGCCAACTTATCCAGAGGCCAGGGCCAAGCCATCCAGGAGAAGCTACTGGACATTACTTTGCTCTCCCAGCTAAGAAAAGATGGCCAACCCCTCCAAGTTTTTTTGGTTTGAAGCCAACCTCTCCATTTACGCAGGCAGAAGTCCCAAATTTGCTCTAGACGCCCTTTTTTTTTGTTTCTTAAAATTCTTCTTATGGGTGTCAAAAGGATAATTATTATTATAATAATTGCCCTGGGTTCCAAGACCATAAGGTTATGACTGACACAATATAGATGGCAATTTCAGGTATGACTCGAATCTTTCACGATTAAAATTACGGGTCAACTCGTCATGACACGTTTAATAAACATATGAGTTAGGGTCAACTCGCCAACCTACAAAATGACTTACTTAACACGTTTATTATTAATTTTTATTAATAATAATAAATATGTGGCATGCATAAACTGACATGTTCTATTATATTCCACCATGCACCCTAAGGTAGTGGGTTTCAACCCACCCAAATGAAAACCCTTAGCCTAAGTCGATCTCCTCATTCTAATTATCATCTCTATTTTGAATTCAACATGTAACATGTTTAATAATTTGTTAAATAGATTAACATGTTTAATACGACACATTTATCAAATGGGTCGGGTTTGGGTTCAGCATTCTTGACACTTTTATTATCTTGACACGACACGAAGCCGACACAACATATTTATCAAATGGGTCGAGTTTGGGTTGAGCATTTTTGACACTTTTATTATCCTAACATGACACAACACGACCCATTGCTAGCCCTAGCTTCATGTATAGATGGACCCGATCTAATTCAACTTACAGTCATATGAGAAAATTCACTAGTAGACCATTTTATGATCGAATTCGACTTACAGTCATATGAGAAAATTCACTAATTCAACTTACAGTCATATTATCGATTCAAAGAACCTAGAGGATAGCTTTCTTTAAAATTAAAATCAACTGAACCAACTCCATAATGTATAATGGATTATCAGCTCTGTACCAAGTTCCAAATTAACACATTTGGATTGATCAACCGGAACATAGATCATTTTTCAATTTAATTTTCCAAATTGACTATGAAAAATGTTTTGACATAAATACCATTACATAAAAGAAAATGAAACCCTATAAGTGCTTCCAAGTTCCAACTAGATTACATGTACAGATGCTCTTGATGTACTTGCAGACTGCAACTTCGAATTTACTTATGTATTTGTATTCTTTTATCCCTTATAGGCAGCTCCACTGGCTTGTGAGGCTCATGTGGATGATCAAGATTTAATCTGCATCTAGAGCAAACGATAATGAATAGAGAATGATGCTTTTGCATAACTATATATATACAGTTAAAAATATAAATTTAGTAGGGTTTAGGGTTTAGGTCCATGTGACGAACATGGAAAATGAGGACCTTTTGGGGTTTGCAAAGCTTCTGAATCTCCAATCTGCAAGTGTTTGAAAGGGTTTGTACCAAAGTCACATGAAGAGTGGAGCAAAGGAAACTGGACATGGGGGTGTGTGAGGAAAACCAAATTGTTGTGTGAGAGTAACACAAGTCAGTTGCTTCGAGAGGAAAAGAAGATGGGAAGTGTAAACCTACCAGCTTCTCATGAGTATATTTTGACTTAGGGTGCAAATAGTTGTTCTTGCCTAGCTTATACACATGTTAACAATATAGGGTGTTTGGTCTGGTCCAAAGACTTTATTGATATTCAGGAGTATTCCTCAGGTGGAGTAGATCTTTTTATTCGCCTAGCACACGTAGAATTAGGTAAGTGATAAACTCTATTGCTTACACAACTCTAATCAGCAGTATTTTTCCTTTTCTGTCTCATATTTCTTGTAATAAAAATTCATCATTTCAAGTGAAGGAAAATGAATAAAGTTAATGGTCAGCCTCATAGCTATTTGTTTTAACAGTATCTTGGCTGCCATGGTGTTCAGCTTGCACAGACTGCGATCTAACCAAAAGGGTAAGAGAATGAGGTCATCAAGGGATGATTAATTTGTGGACCTTGTGTTGGATAAGCTACAAGAAGGGAAGGAAATACCAGTAAAAAGACTATCTAGTAGCTCAGGGCAAGGCGTAGAAGTGTTCAAGAATGAGATGTTGATTTCCAAACTCCAACATAAAAATCTTGTTAGGATCATGGGCTGCTCTGTCTAGAATGAAGAAGTTACTAATTTACAAGTTCATACCAAATGGAAGCTTGGATACTCTTGTATTCAGTTAGTTTCTTTGCTCTTTGTTACATAGTGATGGCCAATTTTTTCATTGTGAAGTGCATGGGATTGGGATGTATCAATGATGTTTACACCATAATCAACCAAGCATGTCCAGCCTCAAAATGACTAGCACCAAGGCAGACACGCCTTCTCCCCTACCGAAGGAAGACACTCTTCCGAGGTGCCAAACACCTGCCGAACCTCCCGACGGCCGAAGCTCTCAACTGCCGAACCCAATCTCTAAGACACGTGTCATCACCACAGGGATTTGCACAAAGTCCCACATCGAAACTTTGTGCAAACCTCCCACTTTCACTTCCCTATAAATAGGGAACATTACCCAAGTAAAAATAGTAACTTCTCAATCACTCTTACTATTATTCTGCCAATTTTACCACTCATAGCTTACTTAAGCATCGGAGAGCCTTCGGCCGGCACCACACCGGTGTCCGAAGCATGACGACTGCTCCTCCCACTCTGTCTTCTGCAGGCTCTTCCCTTACCGAAGGTCCTCACCTTTTCCCATGCTGAAGACTATCCACCTTTCTCTAAGTTGACCTCCCAAAAAGAGCATCAACAAATGACATTACTATTATATTTTGAATTCCAATAACAGGAGGAGCAGTGCTTGATTGGGGTCAACGCCTCAAGATTATTCAGGGCATTGCTAGAGGGCTTCTTTATCTCCACCATGATTCCTGTTTGAAGGTAATACATAGAGATTTGAAGGTCTGTAACATTCTCTTGGATGAGAACATGAACCCAAAAATTTCAAATTTTGAATTGGCACGTATCGTTCAAGGCATGGAGAGTTTAGCAAATACTCACAAGGTTGTGGGAACAATGTAAGCATCATCTCTTTCTTTTCAGATTCTCTGGAATCTTCTTGTTTTTTTTTCTTTTTTTTCTTGTTGGAATAGATGCTTTATTAAAATAATAAGCACCATAAGAGTTACATAAGATAGCACTGAAAATAGCCAATACTATCCAAAGCCCAAACATGATATGCGTGATCTTTATTAAAAAAAAAAAATAAACAACACAAAAGGAAAAGAGGAAGCGTGAACATCCTTTTTCAAAAGAGAACTAGCCAACAAAACCCAAACAAAATGTTAAAAAATGAAGTTAGAAGCACAAAAGCTGGAAACAAAATAAAAGAAAAGAAAAAATAACAATGCATACACACCATGAGAACTTAACCGACAACCTACAAATGTCTACTTAAAACAAAAATAAGAAGAACACAACTACACAAAACTGAGTGTAGAAGAACCTTACTAGAAAACTTAAAAAACAAACTGAAAAGAGACAACAACTAAAAAGACCATGCTAAAACGAAAGCAAAACAACAAGTAACCATAAAAGGAAACAAAAGCCTACTAAAACCAAGCTGCAGAAAAAACAAAGAAAACTAAATCCACAAAACTCACAAATCCACAAAACAAGAAAAATAAACACAATGACACAACAAAAGGAAAACAAAAGTAACAAAGAGAACACCAAGTTGATCGTTCTAGATGTAACAACATAACATGGCCAACAAGGCAAAACTTATCTGGTATTGTTGTAGCCATCAACCCACAAGAAACTACTCCAAACTTGTCTGTTAACGTTGAAAACACCCAATAAAACTGTTAGTAACTGCTCCTAACTTTGGAACTGCAATGCTTGTAGAGGATCAAATGAACCGCCAAAAACTGCTCCCAACTTTGGAATTGCCAAGGCTTGTAAACCCATGCAACAGAAAGGGAGGTTCCGAAAAGGAGGCCACAACAAAGCAACTCTAACAATAAAATATGAAGAAATGTGCAGAACAAAATCCCATACCACTAATGGAAGAGGAACCAATTAGATGACGTACGATCGTCGACAATCACAAGCAACAGAAATATCGTACGTAAAGAACATGTTATGCAACAAGGACTTTGGGGGGACCAATAATATCCTCTTACGAAACTGTGAAACAAGAGCAAGAAATAAGAAACACAATTGTGAAATCAAAACCAAATGAAAAAGAATAATACGTTAATGATCAATGACCAAAGCAAACATAATAGAGTAGTCGCAGACAATTTGTCCTCAATTTTCCATCAAAGACAATTCCCACTGGAGCCACCACACAGAGCGATAATGGCGATCTGCAAACCGCAGATCTACAAGTGAGTGTGGCGATCCGACTGTGCCGGAGATGGAAAAACTTAGAAATTGAAAAACTGAAACAGCACTTCGATTCATCTCCGTATATTGACGTTCTTAATCAAAGTTGCGATACTAAAACCCAAAACCAAAAGGTGGAATAGTTCTGCATTTTATGGAATTGGGAAGGCAATGGGTGGTTCCCGAGAGGATAATTCTGTGTTGAAACTTCTCTGGGTTATCTGTTGTTGTTCGGAAATCTTCTTTAAAAGTTAAATCCTTGAACACACTGTCACTCATATTGTTAATATTACTGAATAAATGGCCTAGGTGGACGCTAGGTGGGCTAGGCGAGGGCTAGGCGAGCTAGCCGGGCTAGGCGGTCTAGGCGGTTGCTAGGCAGTCACTAGGCTGTCTAGGCAGTCGCTAGTGCCTAGAAAAAAAACATAAGCCATTTTGGAATCTCCAAGGTCAAGGACGAGATGACGATGGTGCTATGAGAGAGAGAGAGAGAGAGAGAGAGAGAGAGAGAGAGATGAGGATTGAAGAAGAGAGGTCGCTGGTTATGTCTGAGTGAGAGAGAGAGGCTAGAAGACAGCTCGTGTTAGAGTTAGGGTTTGAGAAGGAAAATTGCATTTATATGCGACATTCAATTCATCAGCTAATTGTAATGTAAACTTTTGAATTAAAAAAAATAAAGAATTGTATTAATTGTAATAACGTGGAAGTACAACCTTAATTTCTAAACCTAATATAGTCTTCTCCTTTTCTCTTTGTATTTGTGCGTTCAAAACTGAAACCTAAGCCAGCTGATGTAGTGAAGGAGGTACTAGAAGCCACAACTTGGGCGACAACAACAGTGATGTCGTAAATCTTGCCTCCCGCATGCTCGACCCCTACCTTCTCAGCCTCCATCTGAAAAGGGCTAACGCTGTAACACATGTTTAATAATTTGTTAAACAGGTTACTCTTAAACATGTGACATGTTTAATGATTTGTTAAATAGGTTAACATGTTTAACATGACTCGAACCCGACATGACATGTTTATTAAATGGGTCGGATTTGGCTTGAGCAGTATTGACACGTTTATTATCTAAACACGACCCGAACTTGACACGACACAACCTAATACCAGCCATATATATAGATGGAACCCGATCCAATACAACTTATAGTCATATGAGAAAATTCACTATAGTAGACTCTTTTATATTTGGTTCTTTTATCTATTTTATTGTATTTTTAAAATCAAAAGAAGAGTGGATTCGAACTTGAGATATAAGTACCAGTAGATTAAAAGCTAATTTGTGTCGAATTTCTTCTTCTTCTTTTTTCTTTTTCCAATTTCTACATAATTTCTTACAACCGGAGGATAGCTTTCTTTAAAATTAAAATCAACTTAATCAACTCCATAATATATAATGGATTATCAGCTCTGTACCAAGTTCCAAATTAACACATTTGGACTGATCAACAGGAACATAGATAATTTTTCAATCGCATTTTCCAAATTAACTATGAAAAATATTGTGACATAAATGCAATTACTTAAAAGAAAATGAAACCCTATAAAGTGCTTCCAAGTTCCAACTAGATTACATGTACATATGCTCCTGATGTACTTTCAGACTGCAACTTCGAATTTACTTATGTATTTGTATTCTTTTATCCCTTATTGGCAGCTCCACTGGCTTGTGAGCCTCATGTGGTTGATCAAGATTTAGTCTGCATCAAGAGCAAACGATAATGAAGCGAGAATAATGCTTTTGCATAACTATATATATACATTTAAAAATATAAATTTACTATTGGTATTGGATGCAACATTCAATTCATCAGCTAATTGTAATGTAAACTTTTGAATTAAAAAAATAAAGAATTGTATTCATTGTAATAACGTGGAAGTGCAACCTCAATTTCTAAACCTAGCTAATATAGTATTCTCTTTTTCTTTTTGTATTTGTGTGTTCAAAACCGAAACCTAAGCTACCTAGTGTAGTGAAGGAGGTACTAGAAGCCACAACTTGGGCGACAACAACAGTGATGTCGTCAATCTTGCCTCCCGCGTGCTCCACCCCCACCTTCTCAGCCTCCATCTGAAAAGGGCTAACGCTGTACTTGTCCAACTAGTTAAACAATGCCAGGTTGGTTATGGCGGAAGCCAACTCCTCACAATCCCGACTGCTTCCTCTATACGCCACAAGAACATCCTCAATCTTACTCGGAAACATGTTGTCCAACAACCTATCTGTCCCAAGCACTATGATGTCCCCCAGGATTGCCTCCATCAGTGGCAGAGTCACTCCTAGACCTAGAGTGGCCCTGGCCCCCCCATATTTTTATCCCTTCTCTATTATATTATATATAATATGTAGAATTTGTAATAAACAATTTATTAATTAAGTTAAAATTTTCTCTAAAACAAATTAGACATGACTCAATTAAAAATATTAGGTTCTAAATATGTAATTATTGAGTACTTAGGTGTGTTATATACTTGTATTTTTAACTTCGGCCCCCCCAATTTTACAATTCTAGCTCCGACCCTGGCCTCCATCACAAACTCCAAAGTCGCCTTGGGACGCTCGTAGCCGACGTAGTTCCCCAACTGGTACGGACAATTAAACATGCGCTGCTGAGGTGGAGACTTGTACAAACCCCTGCTGTCCATGAACACCATGAAGCCGTTGTCCCCGACATTTACGGCGTGCAATGCCCCACGCTCTTTATTGAGGCTGAGGATGCAAGCTGTGGACGAGCCTTGTACTCTGGCGCTGCTCGTGTAGGCTTGGTTCAACACATTTCTTGGATCAACGGCAGCGGCTGCGGCTTGGGTCATGTCCATGGCCGTCTGGTTGGCGTTGTTCATGAGTCCTTTTGCGTACACGCCTGCATCGATGCCTATCTTGGCCCAGCCGCCGACGTGTCTGCCACGCCGTTGGTCTGGACAAAAGAGTATTTAAAAAGAATATAAGATATGTTAGAATAAAACTTTCTTTAGAAAACTTTTTTGGGAGATGCACTATGATATGGACTTCAGAAACACACCTAAAGTCCATTTATAACCTAACAAAGAGACTTTTAACTTCTTATATAAATTACAAAACTGCCATCAATTTTTTAAAACAAGCTCAACCCCAAAACCTCATAAAAATACCAAAAACACTCAATAGGGCTTCAAAGTAATATAATAATCAAAATTAAATTCAATAAGGACAACTTTTTTTTTTTTTTGGGTGGATGGATTTTTTTTTTTTTTTTTTTTTTTTTTTTTTTTTTTGGGTGGGTGGGGGGTTTTTGTTTTTATATAAAAAAGAAACACTAAGGATTTATCTATATTATTAGTGCTAAGAATAAGTATATGACTAAATATCTCAACCTTTTTCCCATTTTAAATGTACAAATCATTCACTATGTGAATTTCATAAACTAATTTAACAACTACACATTATTCTAAGCGTACTATCGCTTTTCCCTATAATAAAAAAAACATTATTCTAAGTGTAGCATTAAGGTTAACTGAAAAATAAGAGTCGTATTAATGTTGACTATAGTCAAATTAATATCGCTTTGCATCTCAGGTAAATGTAAATGTTGTAAATATGGTTTTTACTTTAATCAAGAGGAGACGTAAATTTAATTTTGGGAGATTCATTATTATACCCAATATAGGGGCCCAATTTATATATATATATATATATATATATAATATCATACATGAAATGGACTTTAGAAACACACCCAAAACTCATTTACAACGTAATAAAGAGACTTCGAACTTCCTATAAATTACAAAACTGTCATTGATTTCTTAAAACAAGCCCAACCCCAAAACCTCGTTAAATATATATATATATATATATCAAAAAACTTAATAGGGTATCAAAGTAATTTAATAATCAAAATTAAATTCAATAGAACCATAAATCTCTCATTTTCTTGTTTTTTGTTAACTTTTTTGTGTTAATTCTTTTGTTACGTTTAATTATTTTTTCCAAAATGTAAAGAATATTTTTCTTTAAGCTCAAGAAATAGAGATAATTAAAGAATATAAAAAATCAAGAATAAGTTCATAACTATGTTTGTATATTATATATATATATATATTATTGTCCATACCAAGATTTAGAACACTTAATTATGATTTGCAGGGCAACGTGTACACGTGCTCTTTAATCCCACATGTTAAACTCATGCATGCGTACGTAGGTATTTTTAAATAATACATCCTCGTTTTGCAAACGTCTTAAAGAATCAGCAAACGTACAATACTCGTATTATATAGGTGCGTACATATTTTTCATGTTTAATGCAAGTATGGCCGCCCAACTATACTCGTTTGTACTATTTTTTTTGAAGAGTATAACCGCACGAATTTACTGGTTTGACACGTGGCGCCTAGGCGTTGGGTGGGTCCATATATATATGCGTATATATAAATAGTATAGCCGACCGGCTATACGAGATTTTTTAATTTTGTTTAAGAAATAGTATAGCCGCATGGCTATACTCTGCTAATCTGGCAAATTTCGCCGGCATAGACCTATGCCGACGCAATTCCATCGAGAGAGGTTTTTTTAAAAAAATTGAAAATATAAAATTAGTTTCTTTACTTCTTTTTTTTGCCAACTTCTTTAATTTAATATATGTAATTAAGTAATATCTTAGCCTTTTTGAATTAGTTTAATTAAGGTCTTGAAGGGCTTAATAAATATATTTAAAGACCTTGAAGGGCATTTACAGATTCATATGTAAATATATTTCCAGAAATGACTTAATATATAAATTACTTATTTTAGTTTGGGTGTCTTAATTGAATTAGGAGGTGTTGATTGAGAAGAATTAGGGTGCGTTTGGTATCCTATTCAAATAAGGAACTTAAAAACTTTCATTTTTCTTAAAAACAAGGAGTTCTTAAATCTATTTTTAAGATTCAAAAACTTGTTTGGTATGCAACTTGAAAATTGTTTTCAAATCTTAAAAATTTGAGAACTTATGAGTTGTTAGAAAAAAAAAGGAAAAAAAAACATATATCTTTTGTTTTTAATAATTGGGGTGTTTTTCGGTTGTTCTTGAGTTTGAGTTTTTAAAAAATAAGGCTACCAAATAGGTTTTCTTTGTTCTGGACTCAAATTCTGTTTTTGAGTTTAAAAAGTTAGATTTAAGTTGAATACCAAATAGGCCCTTAGGTTCCGGACTACCATTTCAAGCACAAACACTTGAATATGCTACATTACCTCCAAGCGCGCGCTCACACTACCACCCAAAGCATAGACATTATCACTGTTAAGAATTCGTGCAATGAAGCTCCAAAGAAAAACCAAATATGTTAGGCATATTCTATTCAGTGTGCATCAAATCATATCATTAATGATGAACTCTTTACATTGAACCAAATAAATTAAGGAATATTAATGAACAATGCTATACAAACTTTAAGAAAATTGAGTCAATTTCTCTTTTATTTTATTTTATTTTTCATTTTCCAACCCAACCCAACCCCACTTCCCAAACCCAAGCCCAAGCCCAAATAGCCACTCTCACACCACACATCAATAATGAAAGCGTAAAACTCTTTGTTAAAATTAAAAAAAAAAATCACAATTAAGTGTTTGTGTCGAAAACACAAAAAATATGAACAAACAGATCATACAAAAATATATTCTTTTCTTGTGTGTTTACTTGATATAATTAATTTGCTCACGTGTTATAATAAGTAAATATTTATTACTATTATATCTTAAAAGTAGAAAATATGAACCATATCATACACTCATGTTGTAACACGTGGAAAGATATAGTACCTTGCAGCCGTATTTCATTACTACCGTACCATAATTAAATCAATTATAGTAAAAGTGAAGACAAGTCCGGGTCTTTTCATTCTATTCTAATTCAGAAATTATTACTCAATCTTTATGCATTGGTTAGGCTTACAAAATATAACACATTTAAGAGGGGCAATGTAGATCTGTATGTGTGCTATTCTATATGGTGATTTATCTTGGTCATTCGCATACAAGTGAGTTATTTAAATGAAGTAAAACTCGAACGAGGACAAGTTATGGCAGCAAATGAGACCATGAGCCACTTGACCCTGTGTACTTGTTTGATAGAATTTTTAGCGGTGCCAGACCTTTTTTTTGTTGTTGCTGAACACCTGAACTCATCTGATTTATATTCATTGAAGATCTATGAACTGTACGACATTTGTTAAAATGGTTTGGGGGTAAAGTTTTCCCTATTCGTGTAATTGAATCTTGGAAAAAAAATCTTGATGTTAGCAAGACATAGTTTGTATCATTTTTTGTATGTCGGTCAAATAAAAAAAACAAAAAAAAACAAAAAAACAAAAAAAAACAAAAAAAGAGAGAAAACCCCATTTGGGGTCTTGTACACTATAATTTTTCTTTCATTTCCAAACTCCAATATGTGGTTGAATTTAATTCAAAAGCCCAAATGGGCGAGTCTTGGACCACAAGAGACGCGTGAGCCCTACCACTACCGTCTCAAAACTCCAAATTTGAGTCATGTATGTATTGGAGCATCAAGATTAAGAAAAAGAAGCAAAAATCACGTAAAACACATGATAGAGTTCTGAAGCATCACGTATGTCTTATGGGCTGGCCCACAACACCGGCAAACTCATAACCCAACGACTCTTTCGGACTCTCCTTCCGCCTTTAATGTATCCCACCAAATTTAAGGTGGAGGTTGAAAAAAGGAATGAAATTTGTAGAATACATGTGGCTGTTTCTTTACCTATCAAAATCTATATGTGATAAGGCAAGGCTTTGACGGGTTTTCTAATTTCTTCCTGCGAAACAAATTACAAATCTTATTTAGTTGCAATATCTCATAGGCCTTTCAATTCTATACTGGGTCCAATTGGTTTTCTTATTATCACGTTTCTGCACTCCAATTAAATGTGATAATTAAAACAGAATAGTCAGGAAGCCACTGGAAGTTGTTCTTTCTAGAGCTGGTAAATTACTCAAATAGTCCTCAAACTTGTACGCGATTTACATTTTAGTCCATAAATTAAATTATTAGTCCATATAATACATAAACTCTATTTTAATCGCTCATTTGATCCAGCCGTTACATTTTCTGTTAAATGTAACCAAATTTTAGGGGCAAATACGACTTTTCATAATTAACAAATAAAATAGGGTTAAAATAAATACAAAATTAGAAAAAGATTGAAGAAAAAGAGAGAAAAAAAATCATGAGACTCAAACCCCCTCCCTTCGATTTCTTCTCCCCCATTCCAATTACTGCATTCCTTCAAGCAACCACCAATTCCGAACTCCACAAAATCTTTGTGGGTTTCGTCCCATTTTTCATTTTGTCCAAGTCCCTAAACCCTTCATCCATGGAGTTTGTGGGAGACTTTTTTCTTTTCTTTTTCTGTAGTTGCTAGCTTGGGTGGAGGGTGGGGAGGAGCTGGGGTTTTGGGTTCATGGGGCCTGGGGTGGAGGGTGGTTGTTAGATGGGTTTGGGTGGAGAGTGGTTGTGGGATAGGTCGGTTCTTTTACCAGCCAGCCTACGGCACCTGAGCATCCGGTTTGGGGGTTGGAGCTTGAGGGTGGTGGCCATGGGGGAATGGAGAGAGAGAGAGAGAGAGAGAGAGAGAGAGAGAGAGAGAGAGAGAGAGAGAGAGAGAGAGAGAGAGAGTTTTTACTTTATTCAGTATTTTTTTATTTTTAAGGTACGAAATGACTAATTTGCCCTCATATTTAACAACAATATTGACATAATGTAATGGTTGGATCAAATGGGCAATTAAAATAGAGTTTTTGTACCATTTGGACTAATAATTTAATTTAGGGATCAAAATGTAAATCACGTACAAGTTTGAGGACCATTTGAGTAATTTACCATATAAATAAAACCAATACAAATGCAATAGAATGTATAAAAGAGAATGTTCAGGAAGCCACTGGAAGTTGTTCGTTATAGAGCTGGTCCCATAGCATGTTATAAACAAAACCAGGACAAATGCAATAGCAAATACCTTCATCCATTCCATCACAAGCACCCTACAAGTTTTGTAATCCAGATACATTTCTAGAACCAAAGCATCAGGTATAAATTTTAAATAAAAAAAAATAAAAATAACAAAACAACAAACAACCAAAAAAAAAAAAAAAAAAAAAAAAAAAAAAAAAAAAAAAAAAAAAAAAGGTATATAAAAAAAAGAAGTGTAGGGTTTAAATAGAAAATCTCTATAAAAAAAATGGGTATAAGGACGGATATGGAGAATTTTTTGGGTATGGTGTTCGAGGAGGGGCGGGGCGAGGATTGTATGTTAATTCCCGACCCGAACTCTCCCTGTTTAGAATATATATATATATATATATATCTAAACATCTATATGACCCATTCCATATTGTATTTCACTAATCCAAACATTTATTTTATAGATATACATTCAAAGATTATCTCTACATAAAAAATCACTTGAATCCGATATCATTTGACCACTCAATTGAATTATTCAAATTTTAGTACTTTTTTGAAGCACCGTATTCATTGATTTTGCAGGACACAATTAGATGTCGAAACGGTTTCCGATTTGTCTAATTTTTTGTAAGGATGATCTCTAAATTTAGACTTTAAAAATAGATGGTTTGGATCATTTAAAACAAAAGGCAGATAATGGTAAAACATTCAAAATACTAGGGAATGCCCTTGGTTAATACAAACATTAAGAACTGAATTTATCAATTAAATTAAGATAATATGGTAAATTCACACTTTTATATATTAAAAAAATTAAAATTAAAAGAAAAATCAGATAATGAATATTATTTTTATGGAACACAACTACCCATTATCTTTTTTAATTTTAAAATAAATTTTACAAATTTTTAAAAAAGTTTCTCACAAGCACGGGAGCGCGTGCGAATACTAGTATATAAGTAAATTTAGATTTTAGCCATAAAAAATTTCACTTTTGAAAAAAGCCAAAGCTTTTTCAAAAAAGATAGAAAAACCTCTCAACTTTTAAATCAAAGACATGCAAACGTAAAAGATTCCTTAGAGAATCCAAAAAAACATAAGGGCAATTTTGTTTATTTTGACTTCTTTTAAAAAATCTATCTTTTGGTCTTTTCCAAAGTTGTTTTATTTCTTTTTTTAGTAATTTTTTCTTTTATATTGAGATAGGTCGGAGAACCCATTTCCTAATAAAGATGAGAATGAGGAATCCTCAATATGAATATTTAAATTATGAAGGCAAGAATGGGAAAAAAAGCTTAACGGGTATGAGAATGTTAATGATATATCCATCCCGATTTCACCCATTTTCATTCCTAAACAATCCCATCGGCGGGCCCAAACATGTCTCCCACCAGAGCAACTCGATGACCGTCGTCAGTGCGACACGTGTCCACTCATCATCTTCCCGGTTCCTGCCTCCACCGCATCCCACCCAACTCCACCCCACTCCACTCTCCCTCTCCACAATCCTATAAATTCAGACCTCATTTCTTCTTCCTCCTCAAACCATTATTTCTTCTTCTCAAAATTTTATCTTATTGAAAAAATGGAAAATCAAACTCTAACAGGTTTGTTGAAGAAGGTGGCCTCGGAATTTCCGAACCGCCGCGCGGTTTCCGTTTCTGGAAAATTCGATTTGACCTACGCGCGACTGCAGGAGCTCGTCGATCACTCCGCCTCTCTTTTAATCGCCTCCGGAATTGGCCCAAACGACACCGTCGCGCTCACCTTCCCCAACACCGTTGAGGTATTGTATTGCAACATTTTCTTTTCCATTCACTTTCCTCAACTTTCTCGGGAACCAAACAAGTTTTTCATATAAAAAAAATTAAATAAGATTGTGTTTGTTTCTGTAGCTTGTCGTGATGTTTTTGGCGGTGGTTCGGTGCCGAGCAACGGCGGCGCCGCTGAACCCGGCTTACACGGCTGAGGAGTTCGAGTTCTACCTCTCCGACTCAGAACCGAAGCTTCTGATCACGCCGGAGGTTCCGGTTCAAGCGATTAAAGCGGCGGCCACCAAGCTCAACATCCCTCACGTGACCGCCAAGCTGGCCGGAGCCACCAGCCACGTGACTCTCTCTTCCGCCGCCGAGTCGAGCCCCGACTCGGTCTCGCAACTCGTCAACGATGCTTCCGACGTGGCACTCTTCCTCCACACGTCCGGCACCACGAGCCGACCCAAGGGAGTGCCCTTGACCCAGCTCAATTTGGCCTCGTCGGTCCAGAACATCAAATCGGTCTACAAACTCACAGAGTCTGACTCGACCGTCATCGTCCTCCCTCTGTTCCACGTGCACGGGTTAATCGCCGGGTTACTGAGTTCACTCGTCGCCGGAGCCGCCGTGACTTTCCCAGCCGCGGGCCGATTCTCCGCCTCCACATTTTGGGCCGACATGCTCTCGTACAATGCCACGTGGTATACCGCGGTACCCACCATCCACCAGATCATCCTTGACCGCCATGACAGCAAACCCGAACCGAAATACCCGAAGCTCCGGTTCATTCGGAGCTGCAGCTCTTCGTTGGCTCCGTCAATATTGGCGCGGCTGGAAGAGAAGTTTGGCGCGCCGGTCTTGGAGGCTTATGCGATGACAGAGGCGACCCATTTGATGTGTTCGAACCCGTTGCCCGAAGACGGGCCCCACAAGCCCGGGTCGGTCGGGCGAGCCGTGGGTCAGGAGCTGGCGATTTTGGACGAGAAGGGTTTGGTTCAGCCAGAGGGCGTGAGCGGCGAGGTGTGTGTCAGAGGACCCAATGTGACCAAGGGGTATAAGAACAACCCAGAAGCCAACAAAGCGGCTTTCTTGTTCGGGTGGTTTCATACTGGAGATATCGGCGTTTTGGATTCTGATGGGTATTTGAGCCTCGTGGGTCGGATCAAGGAGCTAATTAACCGCGGAGGTAATGAATTAATAGAAACTGAAGCCCAAGTGTTTGATAAAATGCGTGAGATAAGTTTAGCTCACCATTTGTTTGTTTGATTGTCTCAGGGGAGAAGATATCACCCATTGAAGTAGATTCAGTGCTTGTGTCACATCCAGAAATTGAGGACGGAGTTTCTTTTGGAGTTCCTGATGATAAATATGGTGAAGAGGTAGGTGCCTACATTATATGATATCATTTGTATTAGTGTTTCTGGTTGTAATTGTTCTTAATTATTTATGTATTATGTGGTAATCTGCAGATTAACTGTGCCGTAATCCCAAGAAAAGGCGCAAGCATAGACGAGGAAGAAGTGCTGCGATTTTGCAAGAAGAATCTGGCTTCTTTCAAAGTACCCAAGAAGGTGTTCATCACTGACTCTCTACCTAAAACAACAACCGGGAAAATCCTACGTCGACTTTTGGCCGAGCATTTCCTCGCACAAATCCCCAGTGCCAAGGTTCCCAAGTTTGGTGCTTAATTTTCCTAATTCCTAAAAGAGTCCTGCAAGTTTCTAATGATGCCATAAGCTTGGTCATGTGTCATGTGGTAGTAGTATTAGTAGTAGAAGTGGAGAAGCTGTAGTGTACTTTGTATCTCTTGTTGTTTGATTCGTTCTGGGTTTGTAATGGTAAATAGTTAAATGTTAGTCGACGACCATACCATCTATTATTCATCTTTCAGGTCTGCCTTTGTGTAGTAGATCATGACTCACCAAGTTCAATTGCAACTTTTAATGCACGGATTCCCCTCCCTGCCTACCTGACCTTGTGGGGACCTTCGCACATTAAAGTTGCAAAAATAAAAGCCTAATACAAACGCATTATCACATAAACATAACCCAAAGAATGATAAATTTAATTTTCCTAATTTCGTATATGTGCGTAATTTAGGCAATAGAATAAAGACTTGAGGGTGTAATAAAAACGATTAAGAAAATAATTAAGCAATTAAATAGGCATGCATGCATGCACTAGGCGCTCGGTGCAAGTTTCCAACACCGAAAATGGAAGTTTCCACATAAACCCTAACGCTTGTTCACGCATTTACTGTTCAATTAATATTTTCACCAAATTACGGAAAATATACAAATAAACAAAAAGCAAAACAAAGCAAACCCAAAAAGAAAGTGTCCGTCGGTTGGCCCATGCTCTCTCTCTCTCTCTCTCTCTCTCACCTTTTATTATGCCATATAATACCCTACCCACCGCTACAATTCACGAAAAAGAAAGAAAAAGGATGTGTCTGTTGGCCATGCCATTGCCATTGCCATTGCCATGCATGCATGATCCATCTCTCTCTCACCTTCAATTATATTCAATCCGTTTGTCAGTGTATGAGACAGATGTATATGCATTGAACTAAAACTCACACGTTGCACTTTATCATTGTCACTTCTCTTTCTCTATCTAATTCTGTTCTGTCCATATGTATGTACAATGTATTCACGTTGGTTTGTTTGGCTTGGGGACTTTTTTTTAATAATAACATTGGAAGAAAGAAATCCTTGGGGTTTTGAACCTGAGTGCTATGGTGGCATGGAGGAGGAGAATCCACCACCACTGTGCTGGGAACCCTTGGCTTTTTTTCATTTGTTCTTGGTATTTAAGGAGAATTGTATTCTATAACCATAAAATTTAAGCAATTACTACAACACTATTGTTGTGGGTGTCATGTTGTTAGAGAGAGAGAGAGAGAGAGAGAGAGATTGATGTATACCATTGATCTATACCCATTTTTTATTGATGAAATAATATTTCATGGACAAAGTGTTGAACGACGACAAGATTGAATTGATGGTTTCTTATCAGCCGTGGGTTGGTCAAGATTTTAAAGACTTATTTTAGGGGAAGCCATTAAAGCTGTGAGCAAGCAGATAAAAAAAAAAAGTCAGTGGTTCGAAAAATCTGACCTGCTCTGATCTCTCAACGAAGCGGAATAACTTCCAAGTACTAAAAGCCACAAGCCACATGGTGAAACTGAAACCTGCCCCCTTCTGCATGGACATAAAAGTCATGCATGGACAATAAAGCGTGCGGTCATCGGCTAGTATATATATGGTAATTTTAATTTTAATTGAAATATAATTTTGATTTATATATGTGTATTAAACGTAAAAAATATGTATGTATGTATATAATATGTGTATTGTATGTTCTTTTTTTTTAAACGTGTATTTTACCGAGTTTTTAATATGGATATGAAAAACGAAATATATTAAAAATATGTACATACATACATAATACGAGCATTAAACGGAAAAATGATAACTAGGATGTGCCCCAAACTAATCCAATAAAATGCTGTATTTTTTATTTGTAATTTTGATTTTAATTGAACTGTAACCAGTTATATTATATATATATATATAATATATATATAGTGATAATTAAAGCAACTTTCATATATCCAATTGAGTGTTGGGCTAATCATTTCGCAAAGAAAAAAAGTGAGTCGTTGATTCTAAAAATCTAGCATAGGTACTAAGATAGATTTCACGCACTTGCGGAGCATCCTCCTCGAGTCCAAATGTAGTCACTAGGAATTGGTCTCTAATTTTGGAAAGCCATCGTGCCAGCCAGAGTCAAGATTTTTTGGTGGCGTGTTAGCTCTGGAATCTTACCTACGAAAGCAAATTTGACATGAAAAAAGGTGTCTATAGAAGAGGAATGCATGTTCTGTGGGGGACCAACTGAATCATCAATTCATATCCTCCGTGACTGCCTGTTTGCAATTTTTGCTTGGCGTAGTTCGACATTAAGTAGTAGCGGGTGGAACAATGATGCTTATTCACCCAAGGATTGGGTATTTCGTTGTGCAGAGTCACTAAGCTGTCATGACTTTGCAAATTTTCTCATGGTGAGTTGGGCAATTCGGGAAGCACGTAATGGATTGCTATGGAATAATAAGAAAAGTAGGCCTAAACAAGTGGGAGCTACTTCCAGTAGAAAAATCCTATTATTTCTGGGTTATTTCCGTCGACTGAGGGAAGGGACGTGTAGAGGAGGAAGAGGGGGAAATTTTGGGACCAGTGCAGTCTTCTGGAGACGACAAATCGCTGGTGAGAATAGTCACTGTTTAAACAGGCAAAGAGTCACTTTTGGGAGTTACTATTTCTAGGTAATTTGCTACTACTGTTTAGAGATAATCTTGTTAGAATTCTTTGTTTCAGCATTTCATATTTTGGATATTTTGGGAGCAAAGAAGAAAAAACACAGAAAAGTTGAGAGAGAGCGTTGCTCTTGAGAATGAAAAAATGCTTCTGTGTATTTCATATCAGTTTTACTGTTTGGGTATAATCGATAGGCAGAGAGAAGAAAAAAAGAGATATTCTTCCCTGTACCATATTTACAATAAGCTCAAGTTCTAGCATCCTATTAGATGCTTACACATGTCACTTAATCCTATGCTAGAGATTAAAACACTTGGACTGTGATCCAAGGGTGCACAATAAAGCTGAAGAAAAAAAATAAACAACTAAAAGAAATAAAAAAACAGAGCAGACACAATTCCTTTAGCTCCAAAAACTCGGCTGAAGGATTACACACCAACATTCCCTTCTAATCCTTTAGCCGACTTAACACCAAGTAATTCCCTTAAGTATGCAAACCTGTCCTTAGGCAAAGCTTTAGTCAGAATATCTGCAATTTGCTCCTCAGTTCTGCAGTAGACAAGTTCTATCTCCTTGGCTTGAATTGCTTCTCGAATGAAATGAAACTTTCTGTTAATGTGCCTTGACTTCTGGTGGAAAACAGGGTTCTTTGCCATAGCAATTGCTGATGTGTTATCACACATTATCTGTGTTCCTTCAATCTGTTCTTCTCCAAAATCTTCAAGTACAAATCTCAGCCACTTTGCTTGAGAAGTAGCCTCTGCAGCACTTATATATTCTGCCTCTGCTGTAGACAAAGCAACTGTATTTTGCTTAATTGAAGCCCACGAAAACACTCCCGATCCCATAGTAAAACATACCCTGAGGTACTCCTCATGTCATCTTCACTTCCTGCCCAATCACTATCACAATAGCCAATAAGAGTAGTTTCTTTTCCTTTCTCAAATACAATTCCAAAGTCTATTGTTCCTTGAATGTATCTCAATACCCTTTTAGCAGTTCCCATGTGTTTCTTGGTGGGATTGTGCATGAATCTTGCCAAGAGGCTAGCTGCAAACATTATGTCAGGCCTAGTTGCAGTCAAGTAGAGCAAACTGCCCACAATCTGTCTATATTCTCCTTCATCTGCAGCCTCACTTCCATCATTCTTACTTAACTTCTCATTCATTGCAAGTGGTGTAGCCACTATTTTGCAATCTTTCAAACCAAATTTTTCAACCAGCTTCTGTCCATACTTCTTCTGATGCAAGAAAATGCTTTGTTTAGACTGTATCACCCCCATTCCAAGAAAATGGTGTAATACTCCCAAATCTGTCATCTCATAGTGTTCCATCATATCTCTCCTAAATTCTTCAATCATTTGAGAGCTGCTACCCGTGTACACTATGTCATCAACATATAGAGAAACAATAAGAACATCTGAACCTTCTGCCTTAACATATAAAGTTGCCTCACTTGGACTTTTCTTGAAACCAGCCTTGTTGAAATAGGCATCAATCTCGTCATACCAAGCTCTTGGTGCTTGCTTCAAACCATACAAAGCTTTGTGTAACTTGTATACCTTTGTTTCCTCATCCTTCTTTACAAATCCTTGTGGTTGCTCCACATATACTTCCTCCTTTAAAACTCCATTAAGAAATGCAGATTTCACATCTAGTTGATACAAGCTCCATTCCTTATGTGCAGCAAGAGCAATCAAAGTCCTAATGGTGTCTAGCCTTGCCACAGGGGCAAAAGTCTCATTGTAATCAATACCGGGCTTTTGTGAGTAGCCTTTAGCCACTAAACGAGCCTTGTTTTTCTGCACAGTACCATCCAGATTCAGTTTAGTCTTGTAGACCCACTTAACACCAATCACAGGTTTAGCAAATGGTCTCTCGACAAGTTTCCAAGTGTCATTTTTTTCTATCATTTCCAGTTCAGCTTCCATTGCCTTTCTCCATGACTCATCTTGAGCTGCATCTTCATAATTTTCAGGT